ATATTTAGCTAAGTTTATTATGTTAAGGTGAAAAGGTTACACTAATGGTGTAAAAATAAATATAGTGTAAACTTAACATGGACTTTAATGTTTGATAATAACATGTTTTGTATTTGTTATCTTCTTCACTCTTAATACTTTGCTTGTTAAATGGTTAATCTAAATTTATATTGTATAACAATTGGTAGAAAAAATACTTGGTACTTTTATAGCTCAACCTTATGGCATAACCTACACTTGTGCTATGAAAAGAATTTGATTTGTTGTTAACATAAGTTACAATTATGAATGCCCGATAACATTTACAAGTATTAGTATTATTCGAATAAGATAACTAATGTACTCATGTTAACAATTTATAATCCGATTGGAACCTCCTTTGTGTGTGGTTTCGAGTTGAATAATAAGAGTTTATACAATATATGTTTGAAATACCATCAGTGAATCCTCTAACCTTGATATTTGTTGTTATAATTGTTTAATCATTACATTGATCTTCTATATCAAAGTTCTTATCAACTTTTTTTTTTCTTTTTTCTTCTATTATTATTACTACTATTATTACTACTACTACTATTACTATTACTATTACTATTACTATTACTATTATTGTTGTTGTAGCTGTTGTTGTTGTTGTTGCTGCTGCTATTGTTGTATTGCTATTATTTATAATTTATACAAATAACCTTCTTGTGATTCAACCTCGGTCTTATCAGGTTATTTATTACTTCGACACTCTTGCACTTGGGAGAAGACATCAATGTTTTATTCGTGTCAAAGTTTTGACGTTATTGCTAGGGAGGTAAATTCTTGAACAAATTATAGTATTTATTTTATTTTCACTTTTCACTTTTTTTGTATCTAACATTAGTTCTTTTGTTTTGTTTCTTTTTTTTTTTTTTGTTTTCTTCTTCCTTTTATTATATTCCTATACATGCATGAGAGTGTGGTCACGTATATTAAGTGGTAGACTTTATAAGGTATCCTCATTATTTTTAAAAAATATGGCTAAATAAGATAACCAATCACTTCATAATGAGAATAATCGTGTTAGAACACTAAGAGACCATATGAATCCCATAAGAACAAGTGCACCATCATGCATAGTTTTCCTCCTTGATGCATCTTATTTTAATTTTAAGTCAGATATTATTCAACTTTTACCTTGTTTTCATGGCTTAGAATTAGAAAATCTATACTTGCATTTAAGGGAATTTGAGGAGGTCTGCAACACGTATAATGACTCAAATTATAGCATGAACACCATCAAATTAAAGTTTTTGTCTTTTTCATTGAAAGATAAAGCTAAAACATGACTATAAAATTTAATACCTGGATTCATTCGTACTTGAATGCAACAACAATTTTTAAAGAAGTTTTTCCCTTCTCAGAGAACAAACTCTTTCAAAAGACAAATCATAACTTCCATTAAAAAACCAGGAGAAACATTTTACCAATATTGGGATAGATATCGAGACTTGCTTAATACTTACCCTCATAATGGTTTTGAAACATGGAGATTGGTTTCATATTTTTATGAAGGGTTAACACCTAGAGATAGGCAAATGGTTGAATTGATATGCAATGGAACTTTTGAAAATAAAGACCCTGATGAAGCAATGGAGTACTTAGACTTGTTAGCTAAAAATGCTTAAAATTGGAACATTATAGGTATTTATGAGGCACCAAGTAAAACTCAACCTCAGACATCTAGTGGAGGTATGTATAACCTAAGGGAAGATTATGACCTCCAAGCCAAGTTTACATCTTTAGCTAGAAAAGTCGATGTACTAGAATTAAAAAAGAGTGGTCAATTAAAGTCTGTTTAAGATATTGTGTGTCAAATCTATTAAACAAATGAACATTCAACCAATAATTGTCCAAATTTGCCTTCTTTTAAATAATGTATGTCTCTATGAACATGCTCATGCTTTAAATAGTTTTCAATGGCCCAACTATAACCCATACTCGTAAACATATAACTCTGGTTAGAGAAATCACCTAAATTTTAGTTGGAAGAGTGATAATAACTATACACAAACTTCACAACCACCGTTTCAAGCACATCATAATTTTTAAAATTCTTATAGATATGCACCTCCTTATACTCCATCTCCTAGAAGAAATCTTGAGGAAACATTGCATGCATTTATTGAAAAGTAAGAAATAATCAATACTCAACTTGCTCAAAGCATGAAGAATTTTAAAAATACTCTTGCATAATTGACATCTGCTCTTAATTTTCAAGAGAAAGGTAAGTTTTCATCTCAACCACAATAAAATCTCAAAGGGCAATACAATGCAAATGCAAGTAGTTCCAAAAGCCAATAGATGGATCAAGTCAAATCAATCACTACTCTTCACAGTGGTAAGGTTATTAAAAAACTTACTCTTGAATCTTATGAGAAAGATGATAAATCAATCTCTAAGAGTAAGGAAGATGTTGAATCTGAATATTGCAAAGAAAAAATTGATTTCCTGCCAGCACTTCCATTTCCTTATGACATGACTAAACAAAGAAAAAAAAAAGTCAATCATAACTCTAAAATCTTTAAAACTTCCAAACAGGTAAGGATCAATATACCTTTGAAGAAAGAGGCATTATATTTATGTTCTATTTATAAAAGGAAGAAGCATTATATTTATATTGGTTTAGGATAGATGGCTTAATAGATATGAAAATATTTGGAGCAATGGTTGTTTTGGGATGTTGCTAAGTAAGTTTGTTTAGGTTAAGAGGTGGATCTTGAAATGCTTTTGCATCAAAAGTTTGTACAGGGCTAGTTCGAAGGGTATTTGATTGGTTTGTAGATGTTGAAGGGTTAGTTGTTTGAGGTGTGTCTGGAACGGTCAAAGTTGAGCTATCAAGGTGCTGTGAATGTGTTTTGATGGCTTTGAGGAAGTCTATTTGGTTCTCTTAGATTTGTGTTTGGCTTGGCTTGGTAACTTAATATAATTTGAAAACAAGGTTTTTTAGTTTAAGGTTGATTGAGATTTTGATATCAATCGAACAAAAAGTGATTTTTTGTATTTGTTTTTCCAGTCTGGTAGGTTGTTTGCCTAAAGGGTTAAAGTTTGTATTTCTAAAGTTGTTTTATTGGATTATATGTTTGGTATTGGTAAGGGTGTCTTCACCGAGCATTTTGTACAGGGCTGTATCAACACTTTGGTCTTTGTGGGTGAGTTGGATATTTCTCGAAGGTGGATGGTCAAACTCAACTAGTCGTCCATTGGCGAGGTTCCATACTAGTGTTTTGGATCTGGTGGTAATTGAGCATGCATGTTTAATGGATGCAAATAGATATGCAACATAATGTTCAGACGCATAATGTAATTTAAACCAATCAAAGAATAAAATTTGTATTTTATATAAGTCAATAAAGTTGTAAAATTGTTTTTGAATATCATTCCTTTGTTGGAGGAAATGCTTGAAATACCAAGATCATTTTTTAAAATTGTGATCACCATAAAAATCATTTTTTAAATGAGTTTCATCTAGAATAAAAGGTTTATCTAAAGTCAAAACATTCAACTCCTTTTGAATGTTTTCTGTTATGGCTGAAAAGGTTGGAATTGTGGAAGGAGATGACTGTTCAGTATTTGTATTTATGGGTTTTGATATATTTATAGTATACTCAACATTTTGGAAGCTTGTAGAAGGGATTTTTAAAGTAGAATGTCTAAAAGGAGTTGTGTCATATGAAATATTTATTACAGAAGGAATTTTGAAAATTCTTCTGAGATCAATTATACTTGAAGAGGAAGATTCTTTTAAGAATCTAGAACTTGTAGAATGACGATGGAAAGACAATTTAACTTTGCTATCATAAAACTAGTTTATGTTTTTTATTTGAACATTGGGTTGTAGTGGCTGTTGTATATCTAGTGTGGTTACTTTTTCAAGGATCCAATCATTTGGAAGGGTTATATCTTTTTATTGAATGACTTTTGAAACAACTGTATTTGAACAAGATAGATTTGTTTGAAAAAGGAGTGTTTTTTCTTTTTAGGAGTGATATTTGTATTTACTAGCAAAGACTGAGAACATTGCTTTATAGTGAATTTTAAATATAAAAGCAATTGGGATAAATCCTTCAAGCATATTATAATTATGAGTCTTGATTTATAATAACATGTTTTATAAAAGGTAACAAGTTTAATGTAAAACACTATCTAAATTAGGTTTTAAATTAAAAAGATAATTAAATTGACTCGTAAAAGAAAGCTAAGTTTTCTAATTACATGTGTTTATTATCTACACTTAAAGTTTTTAAATAGCAAAACTCTATCAATCAAGGCTTGATTTTAGGTTAGGTCTTGTAATTATGATGGTATTTTGAAGACTTTCAAAAGTCTTCAAAATACCATCATAATTACAAGATTTTATTATCTACGCTTAAAGTTTTTAAATAGCAAAACTCTTTTTTAAATAGCAAAACTCTATCAATCAAGGTTTGATTTTAGGTTAGGTCTTGTAATTATGATGGTATTTTGAATTCAAAATACCATCATAATTACAAGAACTAACCCAAAATCAATAATCTCTAATGTTTGGATTGAAGAATGAATAAATTAAAATGCTATTATTTTCATACATATTCAATTTAAACAATATTCAAATTAAATTTTGAATTAAAAAAATTACTACATTGGCCAACTAAATTTTATAATTATAAATAAAAAATTACTAAATGAATTTATCAAACCGAGCTAAATTTTGTAATCCCAAGTGTTTGTCGTCTAGGCTTAAAGTATCCAAATAACAAAACTCTATAATTCAAGCCTAGTGCCCCCTTAACTTATTCATATCTCGATTCCAAAAACAACATACACTAAACAAAAATTGTGAAGGATTCAAGTCTTCGTAACCTTATTTTAAAGGAAAAGGATTATTTTACTTTTTTAGTGAAAAAATATTTTAATATAGATCACACCTGCATTAATACGAATAAAATTAAATTATTACTTGTCACTTCGTCTTATTTTCGGACACAAACTTCTATCATCTGCACATGCTTTGTGGACAATTTCTATGCTTCCTGTTATGCCACTTCTCATGGTACCAGGTGGGGTTTGTAATCAGACCACATCTTAGATGCTGACTCCAGCACCCAAAATGGTGCAAAAACAGCGACAGACCTTTATATATTTGCATTTGATGTGCAAAAAGCAAGCTAGAAAAGCCAAAAGTGACCAACTTTTTTCTTTCTTGATCAAATCACCAATGGCAACATTTCATTGCCTGAGTTCTAGCTGTTACCATTACAAGAATTGCAATACTGGTTTTGTGGACTTTAGATTCAAAAGAAGCAGCTATGTTGTCAGGTGTGAGAGGGGAAGTTGCTTTAATCAAGGTTATTCATGTGTAGAGAGGGATGAGAAGAGGAGGCTCAGGATCTTGATTGCTGGTGGGGGTATAGGGGGATTGGTTTTGGCTTTAGCAGCAAAACATAGAGGATATGATGTGAAGGTGTTTGAGAAGGATTTGAGTGCAGTAAGAGGGGAGGGTAGGCACAGGGGTCCTATTCAATTATTGAGTAGTGCTTTGGCAGTTTTGCAGGCTATTGATGGGAATGTTGCAAAGCAAATTATGGAAGCTGGCTGTGTTACTGGTGACCGCATCAATGGCGTCGCAGATGGCGTCTCAGGTAAATGGTATGTAAATGTTGATCCCTTTACAGATTTTGGTTAAATCTTTGAATGAATTTTGATATCTTGTTAAGGCAGTATCAGCTCATGGATGCTAATGATTATAGAAGTAAATGAGATTTTCTTTCATTGCTTGAAAATTTGCATCACTGTGCTTTGATTGGGAAAGTCGATATGCGATGAGTGGGCTGATGCACAACAAATATTCAAAGTTTTCTTGGTCAGTTTTATAACTAGATCAGCGGAAAATTAATCATTTGTAATCGATCGATATTTAAGATTAAGTTTTGCAGGTTTATTAAATTTAATCTCTTGAATCATGCTATGAAGAGAGGACTCCCTGTTACCTCTGTTATATGTAGAATGGCATTGCAAGACATTTTACTCAACGGTGTTGGTTTAGACATAGTAAGAAACAAATCTAAAGTTGTTGACTTCATGCAAGATTCTAACAAGGTATGATCATGTATTAAAATCTCAATTTCTGCATGAACAAGCACAGATACTGATCCCTGGCATCTTTTGGTCAATCACAGGTTACAGTGATCCTTGAGGATGGACAGCATTATGATGGTGATGTTTTAGTTGGGGCAGATGGCATATGGTCAAAAGTACGCTTCTCCTCTTCCATAAATTTCTCTCTTCGATTTATACTCTTAACATTAATTGTATATGTGTTGCCGATAATGTAGGTTCGGTCAAAACTTTTTGGGCAGGAGGATGCAAAATATTCAGATTATACATGCTATAGTGGGCTTGCAAACTTTGTCCCACCTTATGTTGACTCTATTGGGTACGTGAATTGGTCTCATCATGTCGACGATATTAGATTTTGGTAGAGTTTTAGTTTGACATATGTATGAATATTGGGACTGTTTGTGATGTCTGGTTTGAAGGTATCGGGTGTTCTTAGGATTGAACCAGTACTTTGTTGCTTCAGATGTTGGAAATGGAAAGATACAATGGTATGCTTTCCACAAGGAGCCTCCTAATAACACAGATCCTCCAAGAGGCAAATCTCTGAACTGCGCATGTGTATGCTTGCAATAAAAATGATTCTGGCTTCAACAGAAAAATTAAAGTCTTTGAATGCTGCAGGAAAGAAGAAGAGGCTGCTAAATTTGTTTGGACAATGGTGCAAGGAAGTAGTTGAACTAATATCAGAAACACAAGAGGATATGATTCTGCGAAGGGACATTTATGATAGAGACATGATCTACACCTGGGGGATTGGAAGGGTGACTCTGCTAGGCGATGCTGCTCATCCGATGCAACCAAATCTGGGGCAAGGGGGTTGCATGGCAATTGAGGTATGTTCATTCATTCACGACCAGGCTCCATCCCTTAATATTTCAGCATCCTAAGAAGCAATGCCTTGTTGATTAGTAACCGAGACCTATGAATAACGAATAGCTTTTTCAAAGATATGCTATATGAGTTCTCATAGGCTCAATCGTTTTGGCAAATCACATATGCAGGACTGCTACCAACTTATTCTCGAGCTCGATAAGTTCGTCAAGAATGGCTTAGATTTTCAACAGTCAAACGAAATTTCCACCATGCTTCGAAGGTAAAGTTTAGAGCAAAAAAACTGAATTTCCCAGGATTCATGAGAAAAATACCAACCACTTGATGAGGTTTCAGAACTTCAGAGCTGCCAAAATCATATGGAAACACATTTAACGCAACAAATCATTACTACATATCACTTAGCTTGCTAGCATCAATGGAAATCATATTAATAAACATTAAATATTGATCATTCAAGTACCTTTGATTTTTTGGCAAAAAGTTCGATGAGTATTTTTATCAAAAGAAATGGAGCATATTGCAATCTGATTGTTATGGCTTCATCATGCACAGGTACGAGAAGAAAAGAATGTTCCGCGTTAATACAGTGCATGCAGCCAGCCGAATGGCATCGAAAGCGCTCACCGCTTACCGACCTTACATGGAATTTGGATCTGGCTCCTTGTCTGTAAGTTCTTACGACACTCTTTTTCCTCTGATCTCAAATTGTGCGTTTCTCTACCCACGTTCATTTGCTATCAGTTTATGCTGTCGCAGTATAAATCATCTCCAAAGATAACCAAACCCTCAGTTCTTGTGGTACGTGCTTTTCTACAAATTTTCATGCCGCAATTCATGATTTGGATGATGGCTGGCCATGGGTAAGAGAGATCTCTTTTACATTTATTGATACTCTTATACATGTCCAATGTCGTAAAACTTTATGAAACAACCTCATTTCTGTTCTTGCAGATTTTGGTGAAAGAGGAACAGAAGAATTTGAACTCATGCTACCTTCAATGGCCTCACCTATGTTTTGAAATGAGTCCAATTCTTAGAAAATGCCTACTTCCAGTGATGGGATTTCAAGTTAAGCAGGAGCAGTAATAACAACAGCATTAGAAATGTCATAATCACATAGCACATAGAAGCAGCCATTTATGATCAATATTTACCTCGTAGACCATTTTCTCGGCCTCTTCACAGCCCTTTCCTCCACTGTCCCTCTCACACTTCCCTGAACGATACTCACCTCAGCTGCCTTCTTCGATGGCCTGACAACGTTCCTCTTTGAGGACCTACTCTTCTGTTTTCAAGTTTTTTATCACTACTTTTAATCAACA